AGACGCAGTGGCTCACACCTGTAATCCCAACACGTTGGGAGGCCAAGGTGGGCAGATCACCTGAGGTCAGGAGTTCGAGACCAGTCTGACCAGTATGATGAAACCCCATTTCTACTAAAAACACAAAAATTAGCCAGGCGTGGTGGCGCACGCCTGTAGTCCCAACTACTCGGGAGGCTGAGACAGGAGAATCCCTTGAACCCGGGAGGCAGAGGCTGCAGTGAACCAAGACCATGCCAGTGCATTTCCAGCCTGGGCAACAAGAGTGAAACTCTGTCTCAAAAAAAAAGAAAAAGAAACAGAAAAAAAGAAAATACTATAATTACCAAATACCAAAATACCCCATCTCTGAGTTTTGGAAGAAAACTGAATTCTTACATGACTTACTGGGGGCGGGGGGCGCGGCAAATAACAATCAGGTTAGCATAAATGCACCCTTAGTCAACCTACAGGGCCCCCAGGAGACTGGGTCTCAGTGGTCAGGGAAGTTAACTGACAGCACAGAGGGTGAGGGAGATTGAAGGGACTAATTAAGTAACAGCTTATGTCTGCACGGGTTCACTGAGTGTCACCCACTGGGCTTCTTTACTCTGCTATCCCTGGTCATAGTGGTGTCAGCTTTGCTCCAAATTCTCAGCTGAGGAACCCAGCAAGCTGACCGGATCTGCAGGTGAGGACTTGGCCAGAGACAGGTATTGGTATTTTCACAACCCCAGCTGATTGGATAAGAATGAGGCTGGAAAGAAACAGGAAAGACCCGCCAGCAAGAGGCCACAGGGCAGGCTGGGACAGTAATCTGAACCACTGATGGCTTTCCCACCATTAACAACGATTGTAAATGGGCTTTTTGTTTACTTCGATGGATTATTAACTTTTAGGTAACACTGAGGTTTGATCTTGAAGATGTGGAAACACACCCTTGAAAATTTCATTGCTTTCTAGGATATTGCAATGCTGTTACAAATAAGTGTGAAGAAAACAAAGAGAAGAAGAAAATTCCAAGATGACACATAATTAAAAACTACCACCTGTGACAAATAAAACATATTTAAGCATGGTATTTGTCAAGAGACTCCTTTTCTTCCTACTGGCACTTGGACTGGAATGAGAAAGAAGGCAATAGGCTTGTTTGTTAAAGCACACAGCTTGCAAACTTTATTAAGATAGTTGTGAAAGCATATCATTAAAATAAACAGATCACCAGAAAATGTTATCAATAAATAGATTATTTTACCTGAAGAGACTTGTACAAATAAATGTCTTGCATAGATTTCCAACAGCTCAGGATGAACATATGAGAATCCTTCCTTAAGCACAGGTGGATAAAGGTATGCAAAGAATAACGAAAATAACTGTAATACAAGCAGGCTGCATGATCAAAACGGGGAGTGCATTATTTCCTGAGCAATAGTTGCTTTTGAACACAGCTTCGTGCTTCTGCTCTGAAATACAATATCACACCAACAGAGGAAGGAACCCAGCATACTCCTCTTTGCCCCAGCGTCTGTGCTGGAAAAGCAGCACCTGTCCTGGCCCTCTGAGATCCCTCCCACTTCAACCGCAGAAATTCTGGAAGATATCGGCTGCCTCCACCCAGTCCTGGAAGCAGGCCAGCCCCCGCTCCCGGATCTGCTTCCGCCCTTTGTTGGTGATGACCTCCCCATTTTGTTTCACAATCACAAGCTTGGGGATGGCTGTGACGTTGTACCTCTTCCTCAGCTCACTGCAGGAGAGAAGAGTGGTACCGAAGTTAGCACTTCCACATGCACATCTGAAGAGACAGGCCCCCTCCCTCCAACCTGAAGTACAGCCAACTTCGAGGAAGCCACCGGGTGCCCCACCCCGCCTGCTCCTGCTTTCCCTCCTGCTGGGGTGGGGGCTCCTTTCTTCTTGGTGCTACTATTTCTTTTTCTTTTTTTGAGACGGAGTTTTGCTCTTGTTGCCCAGGCTAGAGTGCAATGGTGTGATCTCAGCTCACTGCAACCTCCACCTCCCACATTCAAGCGATTCTCCTGCCTCAGCCTCCCAAGTAGCTGGGATTATAGGTGTGTGCCACCACGTCCAGCTAATTTTTTGTATTTTTAGTAGAGACGGGGTTTCACCATGTCGGCCAGGCTGGTCTGGAACTCCGGGCCTCAGGTGATCTGCCTGCCTTGGCCTCCCAAAGTGCTGGGATTACAGGCATGAGCCACCACACCCAGACTTGGTGCTACCATTTCTAACCCAGTTCCACCCCAGGGAGCTGCCTGCAGCAGTGAACTCTCCATATCTGTGCTACCCAATCCGGTGGCCACCGGCCACATATGGCTGGGAGAGCTCAGAATGTGGCTAGTGTGCCTGAGGAACTGAAGTTTTCATTTTTAATTTTAATTAATTTTTACTTTAAATTTAAATTGTCACAAGTGGCTAGTGGCTACCAGATTGGATAGTGCAGGTCTGAACCCACAAATAAACCCAGTAATTTTTTATGTCCTCTACATCTCAAGGGGTTGAAAAATATCAGATACATATAATGGTAAAAGTTAAAATTCCAGCCAGGTGTGGTGGCTCACACCTGTAATCCCAGCACTTCAGGAGACTGAAGTGGTGAGGTGGGAGGATGGCTTAAGCCCAAGAGTTCAAGACTAGCCTGGGCAACATAGTGAGACCTTGTCTCTACAAAAGTTAAAAAATTAGCTGGGCGTGGTGGCACGCACCTATAGTCCCAGCCACTCGAAAGGCTGAGGTGGGAGGCTCGCTTGAGCACAGGTCAAGGCTGCAGTGAGCCGTGTTAGTGCCTCTACATTCCAG